ATGGCAGCAGATGGAATTCGGGCTTGCTGGTAGAATATCCACAGGAATTGTGTCCAATATTGCTTACTTTGATTCAATAGTATTGTTACGTGGCGGCCGGGGGAAAGATTTGGATTTTGCCTAAATAGGTCTTACCTCATACGTCTACGTTACGATTTAAATGTTGTTGTGAGGAGAAGGGTCGAGCGGCTAGACAAATCCTCTGGTAGGATTTATTGGAATGAGGAGCTGAAGAGGGGCTCTATAAATGGAGGTTGTCCATAAGCTGACGAGGATAACTGTGTTTTCCTCTTGTCAGGTGGAATTTCTACAAGTCGTAGGGATCCGTCTGGATCCTCGACTCTCATTTTTACGGTTTCGGTTTTGTTCCGCGTTGCTTCGCGGAGCTTCGGGTTACGCGATATGGCGGTCAGTGGCAGTAGATCACTAGACGCTTAATATGCTTCTTGCGTTTAGAATTACAAGATTCGCATGATTTTAGCGCAAGGCGATATATTGGAATGCCTGATCGAAGATATAAAAATGGACTTAATCTATCCGGTTATCCGGAGCTAGGCATGGAATTCACATAATCTGAATTGGGACGAATGACGAGGTTAATATGAAGAATGAAAGTGACCCGAGCTTGCGAAAGGGTCTGTACCTGGCTTAATTAGTGGCCAAGTTCGGCGACGTTCTACTTAGATCGATCACCCAGATGACTGTGCGTGAACCCTTTCCGCCCGTCACGTGTTCTAGGGTTCGAGGTCTCCTAGAAGCCTCCTGTCCACAGGTTGTAGTAATGCAGCCGTCTCTTCTTGGCTTGATACTCTTGGATCGCCGGTGTCCAGAGCAGCACAACTCTAGAACTCGTTTAAATGAGATTAGTCGTGAGATTTGGAACATAGTTTCCTTAAAGAGACCTTTTTTATATGAGGGGAAATTCCTAACGTACGCTCCCCCCCCCCCCCCGGAGGAAGTGCAGAGGTATTATGGGGCTTGCATCGTCTAAAATATGGGGGCCGCCCTTGGGGTGTCGAAGGGCGCCATCCGCCAGCCACCACCTGATCCACCAGCCGGTAGGTGAGGCTTGACTCACCGTAAGCCCGCCAGCTCTCCAGGCTGACCAGGATTGCCCCGACGATTCCATGCAGGCGCTCCTGTCATCGCTCTTCAGCGAGCCGCAGAGCCTGGGTCCGGTGCACTTCCGCCGTCCCTTGGAACAGCCGGGGAACCGCCGCAACTCCCGAACGGAGACGACGGGCGAAATTATTGTTCATCGCTTCCATCCCCGCCATATTATCGCAGAACAAAACTCAGGCGAGGGCGGTGGCTACCTCGTACTACACTGTGCGGTATGCCCGGGCAATTCGAGAGTCCAGCCGCCTCTCGAGACGTCAGAGGGCCGTGAGACACCTGCCACTGGCCATTAGATCGCCCGTCCACACAGGGGAGCCATACCTCACCGTAGAGGCCACGTTCTCAATGTAGAGGCGGCGAATCCTCTCGTCCGGCCCTCCGAGAATTGGGCGCAGGCGAGTGAGTGCTCCCACCACCCCCTACACTCGCCGATACCCTTAGTTTGAAGAAACGTTTCACGAATGAAATCTATTTGACACCACTTTTATAACACCTTAACGAGAATGAAATTGTTGTTTTGCGGAAACACGACATCCGAAGGTCCCTTACAGGATTTTTATCTGACACACATGTAAGACAGGAATGCTGTAGGCTTTTGTGCCCATAATACTAGCATTATTTAGCGTTTAAATTGAAATCCATAATCCGAAGATCCAGCAATTTGTTTAGAAAATCTACTACTTAACCTAAAACAGTTGCACAGCAGTTCATCTTAGTGTATTATGTATTTTTACATTTTAATAGAGATTGGGAGTATTCGTAGGGACTAACATTGTTACATTCCATGTAACTTTCGCGCCCAAAAATAGGTTAAGACGCGGATTGCGATTTGAGTCCAGCTACGGAAGGCCCGAAACGAATACCGATAGCGGTCTTCATTGAGGGGATCCCATTAGTTACTTAGGGATATCTTAAGACAGTTTGAAAATGAAAAAGAAACTAAGAGTGAGCACTTATAAACATCAGATACGCGGAAATCGCGTTTGTTTCTCAAAGTGTGTCACCAAAAACGTTAGAGCTATGGTGCAGGACAATGTTTATAAACCCCTGTTTTTCGTGCAGCCCATGGTTAGTCTAATTAAAGTTTTGCTTGTGTTATCGTCGGTGCATTTTCTCAAAGTTCGTCTGAAGTTCGATATCGGGAGTATTGAAACTCAAGCCACTTCGCGTTAAGATCGTGGAACAATAAAGTAATACTAAAAGTCAGAATAGTTCGCTCTCCATTTCCTTTTGTCTTTTTACAATGTTTATCCATTAGTCACAAATTAAATATACCCAGTTTTGCTTTCCTATTCTGACCGGAAGGATCTGAATTTCATAAGACTAAATCCCTCGAATATCGGACCAACTACGTTAATGAAAACGGACTGTTCTTCACGAAAAAGGATGTGAGCCTGTGAGAAACCTTAATGTTGGACCGGCTCAACGGTAAGAATCGACCTTCTTCTGAAGAGGAGGTACAGGAGGACAAGGAACGAACCTACAGTAACCCTGTGATACCGAAAGGGGGTGCATGGAAGACTTCACGCTTGAACCAGCGCTCGGTGAAAGCTGACAAGTATCACAGGAACTTGGAAAAAGGGAAAGTTAAACTAATTCCGTTCCGACCTGGTCACATTTTTAACTTTTCGATTTATCGATCTTGGAACAATCATTGCAAAATCGTATTAGATGCCCAGTCATCCCGAAAAGAGGCAGCGTAAGCCCCAAGATTCGGGACCCAGATACCCGCCCTTTTCCACACCGTCGTGAGTCCGAGCCGCCTCCAAATTTTCCGGGAATATTAAATCGCCGGTTTCTGAGGTGCGAAGACCCAAGTAATAGAGAGGCAGGCATGCGAATTAGAGAAGTATCGGGACGTCTCGTGCCGCGCAGACAATGTTTCGGTTTCTTGCGTGTCTCGGCTTCGGTCGCTCAGCTGATCGTGGCCGAAATTCCAAGTCGAATTCGTATTTTGATATCTCTAACGCGCCGAGATCCCTAAATTAACTTTGATTGGTAATTAATTGATCGATTTCGCTTTTCTGAGACGGACTTAATTTTGGATAGGAAGTGAACTCTCAGAGACTGCCAATTTATCTCACAATTGTACGCCAGAGGTTCATCATCGAACTCGGATAAAAAGGATTCAATGTGTGGGTGAAAATGGGTTGGCTTTTAGTCCGTAGTATTTCGGAATTCTGTTTTTCGTGTAATTTTAATTAATACTCGATTCCTTAAATGACTGGTTTATTTGATTCCTGGAGCACTACTCTACAGGTGTTAGTCTCAACTTATTTTAGATTATCTAGCTTCGGATATCCACTGGCGTAAGAATTTTCTGGTTCGGTAGGATCTTCTATGAAAAGGTTATTGTTGCACCGATTCGTGCCATGATTCTACCTGTGCAACTGCGAAAGCTCCGCAGATCGGGGGCAATCACAGTGATTGAGTCCGAGCTGTCTTTTACAATTGAAGATCGTGTTAGCTCATGCTTCATGGTTGTCGTAGTGATAAGGCCGAAAGTACGGATCTACACTACCTTAGTGTTCTTTTTGGTTGAACCTGCTTCGATTGACTTCCGTCTATCGAAGGTACGGCTCTTTTCTTATTTTTCTTTTCCTTCTCCTTTGCGCGTTCTAATGTTCGTTTTTGGGAGATGCCGCAGTACCACAGTCTCAGGATTGGGTTCAGAAAGACGAGAATTGAGGATGCGACGGCTACCAAGACGGCAGAGACCGCAAGTATATGGGATGGGTTAGGTTTTTACTACCTATCTGTAATTTTTATTACATATACTCTATTCGGATTCCAGATTACTCCGGTCCTCTTCCTATGTATCTTCACTTATAATTTTGTGAGCAAACTGCTAAGAATTTTTACTCCACTAAACTGTCCTATTTAGGATTCAAATCTATTCTGTCTTTCTGATTTTGACTTGCGATCTATCGGAATCTTGCGGCCTCTCCCTACTCCTCGGTCTCTTCGCGCCGCCGAATTATTATCTGTTCGCGCACGCGTCGATTGCCGTTGATTTCGGTGTCGCGCAAGTGTTCTCAGATCGCTCCGTTACAATATCGTAGCGACCTGTCCACGAAGGACACTTGGCCAGGCGACCTAATAACTTTCCTTACTTCTCTCTAAGATAACTGACCCATGTTCAGGCATAACAACATATATCTCAAAACCTGCAATTGAGACGCGATCGGTGCATTTAATATTTTTGATGTTCTTAACCTATCCCGTAAAATGGAATAACTTTTATCCATTTTCGTGTGGGGGCACTACGCCATAAGTTTTGGTCGTCGTCTTTTACCCCCTTTTCGGATTGGAATTTATAACTCTCCATTGTGTTTCAAGCTATTGAACATGATTACTAATTCTCAATCATTACTTTAAAACTTTTTAGAAGAACCTAATTGTACAAGTATATGAACTTGGTTCTGATCTGTACTAATAAAAAAGTTTCCTTTTTCAAAGTCATACATTTTTTTAGTATTAAAAAGGGTCTTAGCACCTCCGTAATTATTTGTTGAAATTTCAGGCGAATCGATTCCAACTTTAAAAAAAACTTATTCCCGTATCTGGCCGTTTAAGCCGGCCTTTCATATAATCTGAAAGTATTAAATGATCACGTTTAAATATTGAGATAGCAAAGAACATACAGACAGAATTGACAGAAATACTCTTTTATCGTATTTCAAATTTTGAAATGTGGTTAAATGAGATAGCATGTAAAAACTTCACTTATTTTTATAATTGATTAAATTTGAATGAATTAAATCTGTCAAAGAGCAAGAAATTGTGAATTCAATTTATGTATTTTGAACGGTTGTATTAATATTTCTGTTATATATTTTGTTTTATATCGTTTTTATATATTTTTTTTTTGTTTAATCTAGATCCCGGTCAACAGGTGTTCTGTACTGTTAAAAATGTACAAATAACGAATACTGGATCCATGGTTCAACTTTCAACGAAGTCTAAACACATGGAATGTGTGAGTAATCACGAAATACATGCATTGGATGCTCTTACTCCGGGTACATCACTAATGCTTACAGTCAAAGATCTTCTTCCAAACGGGTTACGAGTATCATTTGGAAGTGACAATATTGGCTTTATTAATGAAATTTATTTAGGAGCCGCTCTATCGTCTTTTTCAAAAGGGACTGAAGTATGTGGAACATTATTATACGTTTTACCAATATTAAAAATTTCATATTTCACATTATTGCCAAAAGAAAAGGAGAAAGAATTGTTGACTATCGGAGATATTTTCGAGGAAGCGAAAGTTATATTCAGAATGAACAATGGAATTTTTATGAGTTTCCCTAAAGGTCACCGCGCATTCATTCCTGTGCATAAAACTGGTATCAACTTGGAAAGAATCGAATCAGTATTTAAATTAGGTTCTGTACATAAATGCAGAATTTTAAGATATAGTTGGATGGATAGAGTTTACTTATGTAGTACTGAGAAGACTGTACTAGAGAAAAAATATTTTTCGGTTTCCGAATTATCTCCTGGTGACGTGTTGTATGTCAAAGTAATGAAAATTAACAACGAAAGCGGTTCTGTGACCGTGGCTTCTGGTGGAATTAGAGGCATTGTGAGCCCAGAGCATGTGTCTGATCCTGGAATGAAATCAATTAAGAAACTACAGATCGGAAGCACAGTTAAGGTTAGAGTGCTAGAAATCGAAGAAAACAAAAGAGTGCAATTTACAATGAGATCGTCTCTAATAGAATCGAAATTGCCTATTTTGTATAACATTAAAGACGCCAAAATTGGAGGCCAGCATCACGGGACTGTTATTCAAATACATAAAGGTGGTCTTTTGGTGAAATTCTTTGGAAACGTCAAAGGCTGGGTTCCACGCGAGGTTCTGAATCATCATACTTCGAATGTTAATTGGAACTACTCCTTAGGTCAAGTTATTACTGCGAAGATAGACATAATAAAAAAAGAGGAAAGCAAACTATTGTTATCCATTATAGAGGATTCTGAAAAGCGATTAACTGATTTTAAAATAGGTGAAATCGTAGAAGGTATTATAGTGGAAGCAAGTACCCAAGGTGTTTTATTGCAATTAGTTAAAGGTAGTCATAAAGCATTGGGTTTTTTGCCTGCAGGGCATTTGGCTTCATGTCATGAAATAGCGATGTTATTAGCAGCGAGGTTTGTTCCTGGAGACATATTGAATGCTTTCGTATTTTCTACGTACCCAAGTCTAATGTTATCTCAGACAATTGTACCAGAAGCAAATTTAACAAATTTCAACGAGCTGCAGGTTGGAAACTGCATTCCATGTTCCGTAAAGGAAATAACGAAATCTGGGATAAAAGTAATACTACCATTGGAAAATTTCGAAAATTTTGGTACTGTATTGCATAATAATCTTTCGGATATAGAGTTGGTCCGTCCTTATCAAATTTTGCTAGGCACAGTTATAGCTGTCGATAAGATGAAAAAAAGTGTGTTACTGAGCACAGCTTTGTCTAGAGCGTGGATGAATGCGGTAAAATTAAATACTGATTTGACGGTGGCCATCGATGTGTTAAGTCTTTACTTAAAAAAAGTAAAGGAATTGTCAAAGCAACCTCATTATGAGCATAAACCAATATCTATGGCAAGGATTGGGCAACGAGTTAATGGAAAAGTTGAAAAGGTTACGGAATCTGGGCTTGTATTGCAATTGGAAAACAATTTGCAAGGTTTAGTTAGAAAAGAACATTACTCCCGTAGTCTAAAAGCTGGAGACAAAGTACGTGGTAATATTTTATGGTGTAATTATGCTCACGAGATCGCAGAAGTGACATTATTGCCAACTCTATCGAATGTTATAAGCGCAGACCAGGACAAGTTACCAAAAATTCCAATTGATATGCAACTACGAGGAGAGATTGTACTGGTAACTAGCTGGTTCATTCTGATTCTTCTGAAAGGACAATGTAAAGGTAGATTGGTTGCGCTACCTGCTAGGCGACATTTAAATGATCTTCAGCCAGATCTGTCTCCATACATAATAGGAAAGAAAATCAAGTGTTACCTTGCAGTAAATAAAAATGACTCTGATATTTTACCTATTTGTGTGTTAAAATCTGCTTGCGAGTTTCCGAAAATGGCTTTACAAGAAGCAAATGATGAGGTAAAGGAAGATTTTCTAAACAAACGGGACATCGCACTGAAAAATATTACTGATAATATTCTCAATAAAAAAATTAAAAGAACGGAAAAAAACATTATATGTACACGTGAAAATATAATCAAAGAAGCAAATGAAGATTTAAGAGATAATGATGAAAATAGTATATTATTTACTGAAAATAAGAAGATTAAGAATGAAACATTACTTATAAACCAAAAACATGATTTAGAGTTGACGAATGACGAGAATGACTTTAAAATAATAAAAATAGAGAGTCGAAGTGAAAATACTGATTTTGAAGATATAGATAATTCACAAACATTTGAACGAAAAACGGAAAAACGAAAAGGTAAACATAAAAAAGATTCAGTTATTGATGAAGGCACGAACAATGCAAATGAACTAAGGGATGTAAAAAAACGAAAATTAATTCAGTTAGGTAGCAAAAGGTATAAGAACGTTGAAAATGATAATCACATATTAAATATTGAAAAAGACGGTATTCAAAACGGTACTGCTGAATTTAAAGGTACTGAAAGGACAGAATTATTCATTCCCGAATGTGGATTTTATTGGGATGATACACTTGACATAAGTGAAACGCATAAAACGACATCTAGTAGCAGTGATGACGAAGACGGAATGGTATCAACGAAAAAAAAGAAGAAATTCACCCCACATGAAAGGAGGGAAGAAGAAAAGCAAAAGGAACGAGCTATATGGGTACAAGAAGAAAACCTTTCCGCTGATCAAATAGCAAATTCTGTTGATCAATTTGATCGGCTCGTACTTTCTAGCCCTGACAGTTCTTTAATCTGGATTCAATATATGACTTATTATTTGCAAGCAACAGAAATAGATAAGGCAAGGGCTGTCGCAAAACGTGCTATTAAAACTATTCACTTCAGAGAGGAAAATGAGAGGCAAAACGTCTGGTATGCCTGGTTGAATTTGGAATCTAGGTTTGGGACTAACGAATCATTAAATGACGTCTTTCAAAATGCAATAAAATCGAACGATTCATTGAAAGTATATCTCCACATGTTAATTGTATATTCAAACACTAGTCAAGTGTTCGAACTGGAAAAAGTAGTTAATATTCTAGTGGGAAAGTTCAAGGAGAATCCACAAGTATGGATCGAATGTGGTACTGCACTACTTAAAATTGGACTTAAAAACAAGTCAAGAGATCTTATGCAGCGCGCGCTTCAATCGTTACCTGCAATTGAGTGTAAGTATATTTCACACGTAAAATATTTTGTAATCTCTAAGAGATATGATCAAATGAATTTACATCTGGTATAATTGTTTTCAATCACGTTCACCTTACGTTTGTACTATCGTATCGCTCGACCCAGACAGCATTAGCACTAGAACTACCGGCGGATTTTTTTTTATATAGGATGGGCCATTTGAAACCAGTCATTTTGACTGGTCTTGGTAGTTCTAGTGTTGAACATCCTATGTATTGTGACGTATATCCCGCCCGAGGGATACCGGGGTTCACAAAAAGGCCCTATGTCCGGTTCTCTACCTCCGCCCTGGCTCGCACCCAGCCCTAAGCACGGACAAGTTGATTAGAATACCGGTTGGGCGTCAAGCGTCCCAGGACACCAAATCTTAAGGGTCCTTCGGCCTCCCTTCCCTAAGGGCATGGACTTTCCGCGAAAGTGAAGCCAGAAAACGAGGGCGAATGGTTATTTCCGGCTTCACCGAGGCCCGTCCTCGGAGGACTCCCGAAAGGTTGCATCGGCTCCTAGAAGGTCTCGCGGGCCGGGATGAAAGGCCAGCTAGCCCAGATAATTTTGCTACTGAAGTGGCCGCAGAGAGGGGCGAGGTAAGGGCACTTAACCCTGTGACGTTTTATGTCCGGAAGGGACCCGATTTCCTTCCGATCAGTGAGAGGAAAGATTTGCATCGGTTAATAATATTGGAGATTTATTCACCCGAGATAGAAGTCTATTCCAAACAAATAGTTTTAACAACGAGGGACGAATATTCAAAAGGGTTTTTCTCAACAATTAGCAAAAAAGGGAGAATTTAACAAATCGCCGAGGCGGAAACTCGACATAAATTCGGACCGGGAAGGACGTGATACGAGCGCGTCGCAAGGAATAAAATAATTGTAGGAAATTGTAAGTAAGAAACAGAGGCTGTAAAGTAAACGATAAAAAGAACCGGGATTACGAACGCAAGGGACTAAAGGAATAAAATCCGCTTGCCGGTTAAACAAAGTACACGGGTGGGTTAAACCGAATACGACCGCGATCACGACACCGAAGGCGCGCGAGACAATCTTAATAAATTTTTGTCGCCTGGAAGTTACAATCCATTCGCCGGACAAAAACACTTATTTAATACGGAGGAAAAATAAAGCGCGTTCGGAAAATTCTACGGGACCGGGAAGAATGTCGCGAAACGCGAGAGGAACTCAAATTAAACGGGGCGCATCGAGACTTTACATTTGAGAATTCGCAATCTTAAAGATGGCCCGCGCGAAGGACTTACAAGGAATCATTCCCATGACTCCCACCCCGATTTCGATAATTTTTATATATGTTGTAGAACTCGAAAATCTACGGGACACGTCTTTTGTTTTACGTGCTAAGATTGATATCTAGGGGGTGAAACAGCCCCTCAAAGTTTGATGAAAAAATCGATTTTTCTTTTTCTTTCAAAGAATCACTCCACGGATTTCAATGAAACTTGGCATAAATATATCTCGTGTAAGGAGGATCCAAAAACGATACCACCCTACACGGTTGCACCCTCTCAACGGGGGTTAACTACCCTTATCAATAATTTTTTTCTTTTTTTTTTTCGGCGACATATGATTCGATCCAAATAAAATCTGTATCCCGTTAATGCTTGCATTAAATAAGAATTTACGTGTTTTTGATGTTTTCTGAAAAACCACTATTTGACACTATAAATATTAATCAAGGGCAGGTAGTGTTTTTTATATAAACACTAGATGGATTCGCATGAAACTCGGAACGAATATATTTCCTGTCGGTAGGATCCCTAAACGGTACCGTCTGACACGGGAGCACCCCTCAAAGGGGGTGAATTACCCTTGAAAAAGAAACAAAATTATTTTTTTCAAGGACAATTCATCCGACTGGAATAGAAATTTCACGACGATGATTCTTATGGAAAATAAGGGTACACATGTTTTCAGTCTGCTTTCAAAAACCATTATATAACATGGTAAACATATTTCAATGACAGGCAGTATGTGCAATACCGTATCTCCGTCCGGTTGCGGCGTAATCATTTTATTCAAACATCTACATCACAGACATTGTTTTCACCGAAATTTCTTTCGGTCCTTACACACAAATTGTCATTCAGTCCACAAATACAAACTTCATCCTACATAAATTGCCTCGCAATACATTGTACAACGTGAATATGTAAAAATGCTCCAAGAATATTATTCCCGGAAAGCAAAGAAGTACATTGGAAGTGAATATATCAGAGAATATAATGCAATAAAAATAATTTTCACGTAAAATTATATCATGGTTTATATTCATGACAATAGTGATGGTCGTTGAAAAAGTGTTTGAAACAAAATGCTTTTCTACTCCAAGAGCATCGTATTATTGGTACTGAACCGCCAACTGCGCATTTCATAACCGATGTTTTTTTGAAGGCAAATTCAAACGGATTCCGGAAACTTTCTACCTATACATGGACATTTCCACTTTTGCACCAGGCATATTGAAAAAGGTTTTGATATCTAGGAGAAGAAACTTGATTATGTACAAGCGATTGCAGTTTTATAATATTGTTTCGCAAATGAAGATTAACATCGTAATTGTGTAAGAGCACGTTGTCAGAGAAACGTTTCATAAAATTTTTCCAGACTCTAAAATCATAGACGTCTAGAAGTTGAATTCGCCCGGTAGTTCCTCCTGGTATGGTTATCATCATGACATCTTTATCTGCAGGTTTCATTTCATCTATCATATTCCTGCAATGACTGCTCCAGGAGGTCAGTAAGAGAAGACCTCTGTCCAGTGTTTGGGAAAAACACTTCTTTTAGCCAGGTTTTAAAGTGACCTGTAATTCCAAAATATTATATTATAATCCGTGACGTCCGTGTAGATTATATTCATAAAAAGATAGTCAAGTACGTCATTACCTGATGTCATTTTGCCGGATGATGGAGGCAGACGAAACACATTTGGGGGCTGACATAATGTTTTTTCTACTAGAGGCCCAAATCGACCACCTGTGTTACCTCAAAATGGTAGCAAATCTTGATCCGAACTCAGATCAACTTGCCTATAGCACGGATTAAACCCCCTTTTTGTCCACCAATTCAATCGTAGAGCTAGGGACTGGGGTGCACAGAGGGTCAAAGACGGAAAGAAACAAGAGTAGGGGTATTAACAATAATACAATTCTATTACTAAGTAACAAATTTAAAATTAACTTTCGAATACAATTCAGGGGTTTCTCTAAAATATACGAGGTCAATATCTCACCAATCTCAACCAAAACAACGCATGAACATAAGAACCACAATTACAAAGATACACTATACAATGAACGCTACAAGTACCAGAATCTTGAGATCACGAACCCGCCTGAACAAAATCGAAATCTGGGATCCTTCACGTCTCATTACACGTGGTGTTGTACCAAAATTCAAGACCAATTCAAGACCAAAATTCCAGAACAAATTCAAAATCAAAATTCAGGGATGTAACTTCAATATAAAACAATCATCAATTAATTAGAATAGGACTTAGTAAAATTCTTCAGGAATCAAAACTTCACATTATAAAATTAAGCGATCACGAATCTATTTAAATCGACGATTCTAATTAAATCTCAATAAGATATTACGAGGAACAATTTCGGGATCACCTAAAATTAGGAGGGAAACACTTACAACAATAACATTCAACAAAATATGTAAAATTCAAAGGTTGACATCAAATACAGGTTCAGTCGACATTCTACTCGCACAATAAAATTTCTGTATTAACTCGCAGGGACAAAATGTAACACTTCAGATACCTCAAGCACCTTCCACCACCGAATCTGTCAAAAATTGAATTTAGCTCCAGAATTATAAATTCAACATTACATGAGACTCGATTAAGTCGGACAAAACAATCTAACTCTGCAAAAATCCACAATTGAAAATCGTAGAATCTCAATTAATCGAAACCGATATTTAGGGTAATTCTTAAAATTTAATATCCGGGCAATAGGTTCAGCAGCGAAAGAAATACCGGCAATGCAGACGGAATATAATTTAATCACGAAGTAATATTCAACACTTAAAGGATCAAAGGTTAATGGAGCGTCGATAGCCCATCCGCGCTAATTGTTAGTATAAATTTAATCTTTTGTAATCGCTCATGTCAAGGTCCACGGAAAACTCGAGGTCCTTCCGTACACGTGGTTCGCCAGATGTCGTCCCGTACCTTCGACGAAAACCTTAGAAAAAAGACCCTTTGAGAATACTCGGACTCAAATTTATTACCCCCCTTTCGAGGATGGCTCGGGTCCTTCGGTACAGTTAAGAAGCAGGGGTAATTTTCCTTTAATTCGGGGTAACTGAGTAATAATTCCAAAGAGCAAGTTACGCAACGACTGACACAATACTATTCGCAATTAGAAAATCAGACGATGGGTTATACAATAAATTTCCACAGGGGACACAATAATATTTGCACATAAGAGCTTTAAACGAATGACACGATAATATAATCGAGATAATGCATGATCATGTGAAATTTACCGAACGGATTCCTATATAAAATAGTAATTTAACCAACGTACTGATTTAACAGATTTCACTTCACTAAATAACTTGAATTTATTATAAGGTTGCAAAGACTCGAAGTTAGAAAAGATTCATACTCAAACGACCCAAGTCACCTTGACTGAAATTAGAATTTAATATCATTAACAGTAAATAGATTTTTATCTTGATCAGTCAAAATGGAATTTACTCGTTTAAGGGAATGAAATTTTACTCAAGATACAGAATTCACAGGCAAACAAGGTGACATCCTAATAAACCACGCAATTCAAACGCCGTTCGGAAAAACTCACAGACAATAAAATCAAACTACACGATTTCAATAACGATTAGTATAAATCAATATTTGAATAGGGGCCATCCACATTAAATAAAATTTAATACAGCAAAATTTTCGACTGATTAAAATTTCAAACTTTCTTTCGGGTTCCTCAGGTAATTAA